CAGAACAATTAATACTTTCAATAAAGAAAACAACATCTAACAAGAGCAATTAAACATGGAAGCACCAATAAGCATGTAACAGTTAAGACAAGAAAATAATATATTGGGGACGGGGGGAAAGGATCAGGCTAAACAGATAATTTGGCGGCACATAGGTACTCGTCACCTCACCTATACCCCACACATGTGGGTTTTCACATAGAAAATAAGTCGGGGATCCCTAATCCCTCAAATCAAAGTTAGACCAAACATTTACCTCAAGCTAACGGCCAACTCAAAGCTCAATTACCGCTTTTCCTCTAGTTTCCACCTCCAATCGACTCGTATCTAGTCATAATTAACTTAATAACATCAATTATCTCTAAAGAAATCAATTCCAATGCATAATTATAGATTTCCCAATATTTTCCCAAAAAGTCAAAAATCGACCCCGGGTCCGCTCGGTTAAAACCCGAAATTCGGACCAAAACCCGATTACCCATTCACCCCGAGCCTAGATATACAATTGGTTTTGGAATCCGACATCAATTTGCGGTCTAAATCCCCAAATTTCAAAATTCCTAAGTTCTACCCAAAAATCGCTCAATTCCACCATGAAAAACCCTAGTAACTAGGATGAAATCTTGTAAAAAGAAGTAAAAGATTGAAAAAATGAGTTAAGATTCATTTACCTGTGATTTGGGAAAGAAATGGTCGTTGGAAAATCGCCTCTTGAGGTTTAGGTTTTGAAAATGGGAGAATGAATGAAAAATCACGTCCAAAATCGTTTTTGAATAGTTGCATGTATCGCATTTACGATCAGGGATTCGCAAATGTGAACTCGCAAATGCGGACATTACTTCGCAAAAACGAAGAATGGCCTGGCCTGCTAGTATCGCAAATGCAAACAAATGTTCGCAAATGCGGTCTGTTCTTATCGCAATTGCGATCCTGAGCTTCACAATTGCGAAGGTCCCATCCCAGCCCTTCTGATCGCAAATGCGAACATCTTTGCAAATGCGATGCTTGCATTTGCGAGCCATGCGAAGTCTGCAGACCTAAAGCATACCAACAAAATTCCTTAAGTCTAAATCACTCCGTAGCCAAACCAAACATGCACGCAAGTCTTAAAACATCATATGAACTTGCTTGTGCGATCAAATCGATAAAATAACATCCAAAACTATAGATTTAACACCAAAACACATGAAATTCTTAAGAACCCTTGAAATTTCTCTTTTCTCAACCGAATGCCCGAATCACGTCAAATAAACTCCGTTTTCACCAAATTTCACAGACATGACTTAAATATTATATTAAACCTGTATTGGGCTCCGGAACTAAAATATGGGCCCGATACCAACGAGATCAAATATTAATCAATTTCTTTAGTTCCATATATTTTCAGTCTTACAATTTTCATCAAAAATTTATTTCTTGGGCTTGGGACTTCGGAATTCGATTTCGGGCATACGCCCAGGTCCAATATTTTACTACGGTCCTACCGGGACCGTCAAAACACTGGTCTGGATCCGTTTACCCAAAACGTTGACCGAAGTCAACAAAAATTAACTTTTTAGGCCAAAAATCATTTTTTCATCAATTTTCATATAAATGCTTTCCGGAAATACGCCCGGATTGCACACGCAAATCGAGAAAAGATAAAAATGAGATTTTTAAGCCTCGAAATACAGAATCAGATTCTAAAATAGAAGATGACCTTTTTGGTCATCATATTATAGATCGTTTTATTCCAACACCAATAACCTTGAAAATGGATAATCTTGATCTTTAGACCCTCATTCAACCCACGAACAAACTTTTAATGTCAAAAGCTAAAGTGTTGTCCATAGATCAAGCGGGGCAAACACTTATCAAACTTAAATTTCTGCCCATACAACTAGCGAGACCAAAAAATAAAGAGTGGTGCCAAATATCTTCTTTGTGCAAATCACCCAACGGCAGGACCCTCAAGGATCAAGATTGGGTCCAAGGTGATGAAAGTGTAAAATCCTCTGGACTGTGTCAAGAAGTGAGTGTCGGTGCAAATTAGTAATCAATGCCAAATGTCTAATGGATCGAATTTTAACATTTTTTATTGAATTTTTTTAAATATATTTTTTGTATAAATATACATTCTATATATTACATACAAAAATTATTTAAATTTTATATTTTTTCAGCTACCGAATATAAATAATTTATGGGTGAAAACCCCCCTTTTTTATTCCTTGCTCCTTCTACTTCTTTTCTTTCCTTATCTTTTGCTGACTTGCTGTTAATTTCAAAAATCAAATGGTAAAAATTTGACTTAAAAAGTATGATAAGATGGAGAATTCAGACCCACAAACAATTTGAAAGTCAGTTGTTTCGAGGTTAATTCCCACAAAAAACTCAATAATTTAAACTCAAACAATTCATTAAATAAGTACAGATGATTAATTTCCATCTCAAAAACTTGAATAAATTATCCTAAAATCTTGAACTTTAAATCCATGTCTAATTATCGCCCAGATAACCCCTCGTGCGTTTGCCTTTCTGTCGCTTTGTTTCTCTCTCATAATAATTCAAACTGAAAGCAAGTTCTGGAAGTGTCAGTTACTCGGAAAAAAAAAATCAAGAAGATCCAAATTTATAATTGATAATTAAAAAATAGTCACAATTTTAAAAATAATCGAAATTTATCCATTTTAATATAAAAATATAATTGGAACAAAAACACACATAAAAATCCGGAAATATTCCATCATAATATGTTGGAGTTCGAGTTTTTTACATATGAAATTCCGGTATAATATACTATAATTTCATAATGTACTGGAGTTCCAACATAATATGTTGGAAGTTTATATGCAGGAACTCCATAATCTAGCATATTATGCTGGAACTTTCCGTATTTCAGCAAAATAATGGCTATTTTTCAATGACTTTGCAGATACTGGCTATTTTTCGGTTACAATCCGAAAACTGGTTAGGCCGTGCTATTTTCACCAGTTACTCTATCCGGTCCACTTTAATTAATATTTTTGGCTATTTTTGCATATATTAAAAAAATTATTTTTTGCATTACTTAGCAGTAAAAATGACCACATTAACATTAATTTATTCATTAGAAATATAACAAATATTTTTAGGCTCTTTATTCCAAAAACAACTTGGGAGAAAAAAATTAATTCATTCTTGATATTTGAAAACATAAAATATTGTATAAGAAAAATGTCAAAAAAAAAAAAACAATTAAAGTGAACCGTAGGGAGTATCACTTACTCTCTTCGGTCCACTTTAATTGATTTATTGGTTGTTTTCACCCATATTAAGGAATTCACCTTTTAGCATTAATTAACAATAAAAATGATCATATCAACCTTATTTTGTTCATTAGAAATATAACAAATACTCCTAGGCTCTTTACTCCAAGAGCAACTTTGAAAATTATTTTATCAATAAAATTATATATGTTTCTTCATATTTATATTGTGGTTACAATTTATTCTTGTATCTCGAATAATTTGTTGTAAACAAATTGGCACGCCCAGTGGGACCAAATCTATCATTCATTCTCTAATAATGAAAAGAATGTGGTGTCTTCTTTGCTGGTACTTCAAGCCTCGTTTACGCGATCTTGTAAATCTATGCCTCGACAAGCCTTGAAATAGGGGACATTTGTAGACATCAAAATTTTATCAGATCAAATCCATATGAAATTTGGACAAAATCCTAAATTTAAGATTCTACAAGTAGAGTCCATCGAGGTTTCTTGGATGCTACTCTATCTGAAACCGTAACTTGGAGGTCACTCTACCTGAAGCCCTAATTTGAAGCGTACTATACCCAAAACCCTAGATACATTAATAAAAGGGGGCCATATATTCTCTTAAAAAGCATCTCAAAAATGGAAATGATCTCAGTAATTTCATAAATTCTCAGAATATGCACAAAGAGATCAAATATATGATCTTAAAATTACATAAAAATTCATGGAATATTCACAAAGAGATCAAAGACATCAAATATTGTCTTTCTCAAAGCCACCGAAGTAATCAATGGATGTTCTTCCTTTTTCTGAAGATCAAATACATCCTAAGGAAGTTCGCATCATCCTACGTTCGAGAATATACTGGTTAAGCCCTCGAATCACGAAGAACGATCTAGAGAGAAGAATCAAGGGAACAAATAAAAATGTACCCGCATTATTTTATCGATAAAATTATATATGTTTCTTTATATTTATATTATGGTTACAATTTATTTTTGTATCACAAATAATTTATTGTAAACAGTCCGGTATCCGCATTGGGAGCCGACTAAATTTATATTTTTCCATCCGGTGTTTGGTATCCGTATTGGGGCCCAACTAAATCCAGATTGACGGAAAGGTATACATTAGGAATAAAGTATTTTCTAACAAAGACAATTCTGTACCGGGTGAAATTTAAAAATAGTCAGATTTACAACTGGTCGTTCAAAAATAGCCCAGTTTCAAAAGTAATCGAAATTTACCCACTTTTCATGTAAAGATAAATGTGAATGAAAACACTATTCAAAACCTGAAAAATGCGCCAGTATATTATGCTGGAGTTCCAGGATATTATACTGGAGTTCCAAGATAAGTATGCTGGAACTCCAGCATAATATGATGGAGTTCCATCATAAGTACACTAGAACTCCATCATAATATACTGGAGTTCCAGCAAGTATACTGGTCCAGCATAATATACTGAAGTTTGGAGTACTGGTGCTCCAGTCTCCAGTATATTATACTGGAGCCAGCAAAGTATACCGGTCCAGCATAATATGCTGGAGTTCATACACAGGTGCACCGAACTCCAGTATATTTTGCCGGACCGGTCTCTGCTGCAGCAAAATAATAGCTATTTTTCATTGACTTGATAAACGCTAGCTATTTTTAAATAACCAATCCGAAAACTGGTTATACCGTGCTATTTTTACTCCCATACCAGGGTTCCAACCTGAAACCTCTCGTTACAACCTTGTTTGGTGGAGTATCACTTATCATTCATTAAAATAGACGCACTCACTTTAATGAACTTTCTGCTACAGTACTATTTCAGATCTCAAATATTTTTTAGTACTCAACACAGGCTCCTCTACTATTAAATTTCATACATTACCCTTCACTTTCTTCTATCTAAGCTAAATCTCTGTTTCTCACTCTCTCTACAAGTCAAGGTACTCTCTTTTTTCACATTTTTATGTCTTTATTGATACATGATTTGTTTAGATTTAGCTACTTTAATTGGTTTTATTGAGATTGTAGAATTCTAAAATTTAAGTCTTTACCTTTTTCTTTGCAATTCAGTAGTTGTTTACCTACTGTAGTGAATCCATGAGTATTATGAGTTGTTAATTTTGCTGAATTTTGAAGTGCTGGTACCTAGCGCTGAGTAGATTGTACTGAGATACAATAATAGTGTTGAATTGATGGTTACTTCCCTCAATTCAGCAATATTAGGTCACTGGAAATTGTTAACAACAACAACAAATAATAAGGGGTGGATTTAGCGGATTTAGCATGCAGGCTACGGGTTCATCTGAACCCAGTAACTTTTGCTATATATGTTGAAAATTCCTCTAAATAAGTGCAAATAATAGATTTCAAACTCAGTAAAATCAAATAGAATGCGGTAGAATTTCAAACGCGAACATAAATTTCAGATCTTGGACCCACCTCTGCTATTAATTGCCTATTGATCCTTTTTTTAGGAATTTAAAAGTGTTTGATAAGCTTTTGTTTTTCAGAGTTTGCTTCAGATGATAATTTGAAGAAGATAGCCAAATGTGCTTGCTGCATTTCTACAATTGATGAGTATAAGTTAACGAGACTGAGATTTGTTGAGTGAGGTTTTGATGGATCATATTTCATCTACAGAGAGGGATTTTGTGGTTGATCTCGAGAGTTGTAGAAGTACAAGTGAAGAAGCAAGAAGTACTAATTCTCCATTAAATGCCAAAGCAGGGGATATATTATTCACTAGTGTCTGTAATGATGATGGTGAAGAACTTTCTAGAGCTGAAAATGGGTTGAATATGAACAGCAATATAAAAGACGGCGCAGAGCTATCTCCGGCAAATATTAGAGTGTTTATAGACAAGACAAATTTAGTAGAGAAGAAACCGGTGAAAGAAAAACGTAAATCAATGAGTGCTAAAAAACCTCCTAAGCCTCCTAGACCTCCCAGAGGATTTTCATTGGATGCTGCTGACCAGAAGCTGATAAAAGAGATAGCGGAACTCGCAATGATCAAACGTGCACGGATTGAGAGAATGAAGGCATTGAAGAAAATGAAAGCAGCCAAGGCATCGTCAACATCATCAGTATTGAATGGCAGTTTCCTTGCCTTGCTCTTTACTGTCTTCTTCTTTTTTCTGCTATTGTTTCAAGGTAAATATCTGGATTTTTCAGTTTGGATTTCCTATGTCCTATTTTAGAGTGTAATTATATTAAGAATGAAGTTTTTATGAAATTTTGCTCCAAAAGAATGCTCCTTGTTAAGATAAATTTGACTTTCCTCATTCTTCAGCATGTCAAGTCATGTTAATTGCATTTCATACCTGTAGTCAGTTTCTTCTTTTGTGTTTCATGCTTTTAAGTGACTATATATTGGTGTTGCTCGTGTAGACAATGCTAACAATTGGTTTGTACCTGCCACCAATAAGCAAAATCGTAATGGAGCTATTGGGTTATCTTCTTAATTCTCTATATATGTCAAGATCATTCTTGTTTTGGAAGCCGAGCTTGTTAGCGCAAGCTTGTGACCCAAGTGGGGGCATTAAGTTGTTGGGACACCATATAAGTAAAGCCCTTGACAGGAGTGGTTTGGTTGGGCCAGCAATGACACTAGGTGTTTTGCATGCTTCCCTAAGCCGAGGATCTATTGGAAACAACCTTTCTACCTCCACAAGGTAGGGTTAAGGATGCGTACACGCTACCCTCCTCAGACCACACTACTTGGGATTATACTGGGTTTGTTGTTGTTGTTGTTGCATTCTTGTTTTGGAACTTCTATTTTTTTCTCTCTTGATACTGATACCAGATCCGGTTATGTGAGCATCTTTATGGCAGTAGGAGGATGCAAAAATATGGCTTGACACGATATATATGTGTGCTGATTCTTTGCATTTTTGGTCAGCAATGATGGCGCTGAAAAACCACATTTTTTTGCAGTTGACATACCCTTGTGTTTTCTTTCTTCTCCTTTTAGTTCCTCTCCTCCCCCCCCCCCCCCCCCCCCCCACCATTTTATTCATACTGTTGAACCAAGAACTTTTTTTCCATTATGCAAAATTTCTGATGATTTGGTGTTTACAATATTGTATGCAGGGATGTCTTATAGAAGTTCAGCTATGAGCTTTCACAACTCTGTTCAATCCGGCAGCGTGAAGAATAGATTCATTATTGTACAGGACCACTCAAATTTATCCACTAGTAATGCCATCTTCGCGGACTCTGGATCTTCGGAGTATGTACTACCCTATATATCTCTGATACATCTGAAAATGGTACTTCACATTCTGTAGTTATAGATGATTCTAGTTGGCTAAGTTTTTCCATTTGCTTCTTATCTTGTAGTCCTGTGGAGCACGCTTCTGGTTTAACTCATGGGAATAGTCCGAAAAGTGTCACAAGCTGAAATTTAGTGTCATTACTCGAACTATTCAAATATGAATTCAGATTGCCACTACGTTTCTGGCATGCGCCAGTTTGAAGGAGTTCTACGTAAGTGACTCGGTATAAGACTTACCTAATTTGTATAACCTGTACAGTGATTGATACTGGTTGATTGAGATAAATAACCACTGCCATAGCACACTAAGAATGCCTCAGAATTGCCAGTTCAGTAGCTAGCCTCAAATTGACAAAGAGGTTTCTGGGGAGAAGCATGGATTGAAACAAAATACAGATTGGTCCTTTAATATGTAGCAGTTGGATTATATGGTTTATAAAAGATATAGAAAGAAATGGTGATGTCAAGTGGCAAAAACTGGTGATATATGAGTTTCTTTTTCTTGTCAGTTGGAAGACCTAACTCCTTTGTGATATATCTTTGATGTTTATTTGTGCCACAATGGTTGAACTGAATCCCTAATTATGATATTTGGACTAGTTAAATAGTGCATAATACTCTGAGAACAAGAATTTCAGGGCCTTGTAATTGCTGATCAATCTTGTTTGACTTGCTTTACTTATGTATTGATCGCCTGAACCACACTGGCGATGCGCGTTAGATCAGACTTATTTGCATTTTAATATATGGAATAGAATATGCTTTCTTTCATATTATTGTTTTCTGACTTGAGGGTCTATCGGAAACAACCTCTCTGCCCTATCGGGGTAGGGGTAAGGTCTGCCTACACATTACCCTCTCCAGATCCCACTTAATGAGATTTTACTGGGTAGTAGTTGTTGTTGACTTGAAGTCATACTATCCTGGGTGCACATCTGTATGCTTCAAAGTCTGTTAATAGTTAATAACCTTTAATATCATTGGGATTCATGACTTATCTTCTCTAAGTCCAAAAGTAATACTTAATTATAACTGGAGAATTTGAAATATAAGTAACTCTTCTCTGAAGAAAGGTTCCTGCCCTCACTTTAAATAGAAGCAAGGCAAGTTGGGAGTATCATGTTTGCCACGTTCGACGGATTTGCCCTTTCTAATTTTCTATAATAATAATAATAATTTTCTTATAAGAGAACTACTAAAAAGACAGAAAGAAAAGACAACTTACCATAAGAGAAAATCATCTAAACTGCATCATTAACAACAAAGGAAGTGAAAGGAAAAAAACAAAAAAGGAGAGTATCTGTATTTGTAAAAGGGAGTGCATGCGGCTGCTTCAACGGCTCGAACCCGTAACCTATATTACAGGGGTACATCATAATAAATTTCTAATAATTGCTCTACCAACAACAGAAAGCTCAAGCACTGCAGTGTTCAAACCAGTAAGAGGAGAAAAACTACTCTTGAAATTCTCCTCACAATCCTGAGAATCACCAAAACATACAACCATACCATCTTCAGCAAATTTTGGGTTCCCTTTAGTCAAAGCTTCAACAGCTTCAGGTAAACTTACTGTTAAAATTACCTTATATGAAAAAGCACACTTCTTTAATGGAACTCTCCAAGCTGTTGGAGGATTGGATTGACGTAGCTTTGAGATAAATTCCGCCGCCTGATTCGCCTTCACTTTGATGGCGTCCACGACGATCAGCGCCAGCGTCGTGATGTCGCCGCCGGCGCTGCGTTTGTCGGAGAGTAGAGTTTTTAGGCAGAGGTTGTAGTTTGGTGTGTTCTTGCATGTGGTTTCTACTAGGTTATTTCTGCTGCTGCTTGTTTCCAGTGTTAAGGTTAATAGCAATATGACTAGATATATTAGAGTCTTCATTTTGGAAAAGAAGAAAAAAAGACCTAAGTTATTGTTTTAAGTGGAGAAACTCAGGGCAGCTAGTTTGCTGTTGTGAACTCTGAAGAGATTGGGAACTACATATATTGGATGGAGGTGTTTGCTCTTTTAAAAAAAATTAAAAATCATTCATCCGTTCTACTTCCTCTGTTTCAAAAAGATCCGTACTATTTTCTTATTAGTCTGTTTCGAAAAAATTGATCGTTTACGTACCATATTTCCTTAGTGATATAAAAATGAAATTGAGGAGGGAGTAAAAGATTAAATTACGTACAACTATGGGCGGGTAGGCGTTATTTTTCTGTTTTCGGCAAAACTTGGACACATTCAGTGGTGTCGCTGGTGTGGAAATGCAGAGGAGATAAGACTTAATTTTAAGTCGGTTACTTATAACCATCTCTTTATGGGTTCCTTTATTTATCTCTTTCCCAAACGGGGTTCTGTTGGTGATGGGAGATATTAGGTACTTATATTATGATATTAATATTTGTGTGCGTGTAAGCTGGTACGGACTCTATGGAGAAAAGAAAATTAATAATGCTTGCAGTGCTTTGTATTGCGAATCATCCCTACATTATTAATGTAATTTATGCATCACTAGTTTCTACATTGCTAATTATTTACCTGTAAAATTGAATTATAATTAAATTTGTACGTAGTTTTAAGGATACATAATATAACTTGATACAAATTAAGAAGATAAATTAATATTGAAATTAACGATAATAAAATAAATGCAAATCACAAAATTGAACAACCTTAGCCTCTGAGTTTGATCAACCTCGAACCAAGTAATATCTCAACTAGTGTTATAACTGAACAACAAGATGATAAGAACTAGAAATGATTAGTATATTGCTCTCTTTTTGCATGTTACAATGTTCCTTACAAATGATCAGAACCCACTGTATGTAGTGGGGGTGTTCTACTTTTGGTATAATTCTATACAAGGTAAAAAATCTCATGATTTGCTAGTTAATCGGCCTCTTCTGCCGAGATTTCCGCCGTGATCCTCGACCGATTGCGGATATTTTGGCTTTCCGTTATTTGGCTAGGTAAGTTCTCCTCGATCTTGCACGGTCTCTGGGTCACGAGCTCGACGATCTAATTTTGCGCCTTGGTTCGATATAATCCGAGTTCGAGTTTTGACCTGCCACGTTTAAGCCTCTGTTGGTCAAACAATTGACGAACCCAGTTTCGACCGTATACACTAATCTTAACATTATCAGTACATATTGTAACCGATATGTTATTAAATCTTGTATAACTTGTCTTTGAACCAAGCAACCCGCAAGAGTTAGTCATATTTGCTGATGTTTTCCTGTTATAGTCCAGGGGGATATAGCCTTTAGATTATGAGTTCAACTGAATCCATAACTTTTGATATGGAGTATAAATATATATATATATCATTAAATTTCAACAAATATTAGATTTGAACCCATAATTTTAACAGTATATTTAATTAAATGTTGAGAATCTTAAGAGTTGGATCCATTAAATTTAAATCCTACGTCCACCCTTGTTCCAGTCAATGAGTTCATAGGCAAAAAGAATGCTACTATACTCATTTCCTTCTAACATGACATTTTCCCATATCAAATTTGAAACCTTTTTTCGTTAATATCATCATTATACCTAAGCAGGGACGGAGCCATATGGTCATAAGGGTAGTCAAGATTATCCTTCATCGAAAAATTACACTATATATATGGGTAAAATATTATGTTTTAGAGGTATATAACACATATTGAACCCCTTTGTCAGGAATTTTTTTCGCTTCTTTTAAATTTGAACACCCTTGAGAAAATTTCTAGTTTCGCCAGTACATACGAGAACGTAAACATATACATGATTCCTCTTAAAAGTTAAAAAAATAATAAGCACAAACGTCCAATAATCACATTTTTATTCATGTATAATTTCTTGTTTCTCCTAGTACAAAGCTTTCGCTCACTTTATTATGCATTTTTCTGCATGTAGGAAACAAACATTTATTTAATTTCCTAATGTTTAATTCCCTCCAACTTCAAGATAGGATTTTGCTATTCGGTCATTTGCTCCTTTTGGGTAAAATCCACCTGGTTTATTCTCATTTCCACTTCTGTAGATTATTTGCAATATTTCTTCCGGCGTTCTATTGTAGGAAAGTGAGTATTTATCTGCTGCCAATATATTTCCTTGTATCTTCCCGTCATTACCTACTGTTGGTTTTACTTTGAGTCATTCATCTTTCAATCCATGGCGTCCTAGCTTGTTTCTCAGCTCTGATATCCGATTTGTGAACTCTGCTACTGTTATTCCGTAGGGTTCTACGTTCTCTCTTCCTCGCTCATAAAGCAATGCTATTAGAACTGCGTCTTGACCTGATTCTACTCCCAGTAGCCCTGCTAGTAGTTGCAGATTTTGAATTTTGTATGTTTTCAATTTGAAATGTAATGAATATACTACATGCATGCAATTTGTTTTATGAGATGAGATTTGACTCGACATGAAGTTTAATATATTTTTTATTATAATTATATTGTCATGTTAATTTGGTGCATTTCTACTATTCTATCATATACTTATTACTTTTCAGTGGTATAAGTACCGGATGACTTTGTCTACAAGACTTATGCAGACGGAAAGTTTAAGATATGAAATTAACTAGTGGGTATATTTATGATAATGAAACGATTATTATAATAAGAATTACCATGACAATGTAAAGAATTTCTATATATAAAATTAAGTCGTCTAAATAATAATACAACAATTATCTATAAAAAAAATGATCAGTAACCAAGAAAATAAGGTAGATTATTTGTTACAACAGTTATAACTAACTGATAGAATAAGGATTCTTTACATGACATTGTGAGTGTATATACATTAAGTTATTAAACTAATGATTGAAAAATTAGATTTAAATATAAAAAGACAATGACACTGCAAGTAGCTAAAGTTTTAATTCTTGAAAATTGTATAGTTTTGTGGTGTGTTTCGTTTCCTATAAAATGTTTTCCTGGAAAATGAGTAGTTTTATCACTTATTTTCCCTTGTTTGGTTGGTGAGTGAAAAACTTTTTCCGAAAAATATTTTCTAGTGTTTGATTAGAGAGTAAAAAATATTTTTGCATGCTACTCTCCTCAACCCTATTCCTTCCAAGTCCCCATGTTTCCTTGCCCACCCCAACCCCCTCTCAATACTCAACATTTTTAGGATTCTATTTTCTTCAAGAATTTAATTATTCTTCTAAAAATTTATATAAACCCAAAGGAACTAATGTACTGCTTTATTTTTTTACGTAAAAATAACTTTAAAATTTGTGCGCCATAACTAAAAAAGAGAATATTCTTTGTTTGGATGAAAAAAAATTGTTCTTTATACAACATGAAACTCATTTTATTGAAATAATGAAAAATACATTTTGTACATCATAAAAAGAAAATGCTTTTTTTCCTTCGGCATATATTTTTAATGAACTGCCACAACTTAAACATGAAACACATAAAGAAGGTGGTTCTCGTTAATAATATATAGAATTTTATAAATAATAAAATAATTAATTCAGCTGCAATAGAACTACTAACCTTTGAGAATAAGGATAGTGATTTTTATCTCATAATAATTTTTTAACTCTGCAAATGCACTTAATTAACATATAATTAGTAGATACTTTTACTTCAAAAATGTATAAATGAACAAAATGGTAACATCCATGGTAACTTGAGAAAGAGTTTTGGAAAATGTTTTCCCTTCTCTCAATAAGGAAAACATTTTCTTTCAATTAGAGGAAAATGAGTTGATGAGGAAAATATTTTTCAGAACATTTAAGCCAACCAAACATGAAAAAATTGGAAAATATTTTCCATGCCATGCATGTAAATTGGAACAAAGATAATAATATTATGTTAAAAGATGTACTAGTTCAGAGAGTAATTTGATTTAATTACCCTTTTGGCAGTAGGGCTGAGGAGTTTAGGATTGGCTCCAACATATCCAATAAGTCCAATATAAAGGATAACATACGAAGCAAGGAGATAATTAATGTCATTAGCGTAAGGATTAAAAGGTGGTTCTAATTGATGTCCAAATGCATCGTTCATAACTGTAGCAAATGCTTCTCTGCTTAGATTTAGCAATGGCCTTGAAAATCCTGCTACTGTATACTTGATTGCCCTACAATATCAATTTTATCGAACTTTTAAATTTGGATATATAGACGTTATATATTAAATTAATAGGGTGCTTGGATTGGTTTTTAAGCCAGTCAAATCAATTTTTAAGTTTTTATTAGTTTTTAAGTGTTTGACAAAGTCAAAAAGGACTTAAAATGAGTGAAAAACTGCTTAAAACAAGCCAAAAGAAATAAGCTGGACAACCCAACTTATTACGTTTTGGTTTAAAAGCTATTTCTGCTGAAAAGCTTTTTTTTAAGCCAAACCAAACGGTTTCTAAATCAACTACTGAAGAAGAGGTGTAGGTCTCTCGACACCTATGTTGCTTGGACCTTTTAAAAATATTTTCGGGTGTGTGTTGAGTCCTCCAAAAGTGGTGTGTTTTTTTACAAGTCAACATGCACACGACAATATTTTTAAAGAGTCGAACACTATTTGGTTGAAGAACAAAGAAAGTTTGTTTGAAGAAGCTCTTAGGAACATTCTATTACTACAAACAATCATTTGAGTTCAACAAATTAATAGTTGCACATAAATTATCCTTATAATAAGGGTTGATTTGTACAAAAATCGAAGTATTCGAATCTTTCACCTGCAGCAAAAAATATTACAACCCATATTTACGTACGTTAGTTCATGCCGTAAGTTAGTAAATGTAAATCCAAGAAGAGATTATCTTTGAGATGATAAGAAGTTAATCCTATTGGTCTTAAATGATACAAAGGTGTATAAGGATGGTTAATAAGTATTAGAAGTTAAACGAATCAAGGATGTTGCAACCCGTATTTTCGGGTAAACCTAGAGGTGCTTAATACATTTAAGAGGATGTGTTTTAAGGTATTTGGATCATATAATATCCGTATCGTAAGTCTTGAAGTCAAACGAGTTATGAAACAAAAGTCGACAAAAGTTGTCGCAACTTAGGTTCATAGTTTTACTTAAACTTTAGGTCAAATGTTACTAAGCTTTTCTACCAATTTACTTAAAATTATAGGGTGATCTATCCACAAAATTGAATATCTATGAGTCTAGTTTCCAACGCATTTAA